ATTAATTTCTGGATTCTATAAGTAATAAACAAATAAATGTAGTGCTTCTCCTGCAGATGTACGTTGGGTTCAGTAAATCCCTAGTAAACTAGGGTGTAGAATGTGTAAGGGTCAGCTGAGGCGTAAAACTCCAAGGGTCAAGCTTTGGTTTAATAAAATCTAAGCTTCAGTATAGCAAATATCAAGGGTAAAATTGATTAAAGAAAATTGCAAGGATACAAGCTGAGGTGTAGAAAATCTTAAGGGTTATCTGGGTTGCAGAAAATCGTAAGGTTAGATTGGGATAAATACAGCTTCCAGGATTTCTACTGTCAACCAGTAACAATAACTGTGACCAAGGGTGATTAGGTCATATTGAGGTGATTTAAAAAACTTTGGATTGAAATATCAATGCTCAGTCAAGTTAAGTGGCACTGGGGACACTAGATAAATATTTGGAAAATGCCACACCTTTGACAAAGCCTATGAAAACAACAATTTATGAGTTTTTTGTAGATTGAATTTTGCAATTTGACAAAATTTCTTCCTGACTTCAATATGGCTTTGTGATTCAATGGCTGTAGAAATTTACCTAATTTACATTTTAGATCTCATATTAAACACTATTTACCGTTAATAAAGTAATTAATTTATAATTATCTAACTTCTTCTTGTTCTGAACATGCATGAACTATTTGCAACTGGACATTTATTAAACAGTATTTAACCAGTCAATATGTAGAACATTTTGATTGACAAAAACATGTAGCAAACAATTTTCTTTCCATGCCTTTATACAAAAAGCATTTTGTATTTTTTGTGAAATGGTAAATAAACAAAAAAGCCTTTAACAGGGACAAGGCAGAAATGTTTCCATGCTGTTATAGTTTCATGCTCATACCTTTGTTATTTTAGCAATTATTAATGAAACATTTATTTCCTGAACCCTGTTAGTTTTTTTTTGGTATCCTATATGCAGGCCTTACAGCAATAAACATTTCAAGTACTGTAAATTCCAATATTATTGCATGCATTTATTATTGCAATTTTTGAAGATTACACCAAAATGTGAGATTAATTACTGTGAGTTCAGGAAAATCTACAAACAGATATATGTATCAGATATTAGAATGCAAGTTTTTATACGACCGCAAAAAATTTTTTGCTTCGTAAAATGCTATGGTGTCATCGTCGTCGTCTGAAGACACATTTGGTTTCCGGACAATAACTTTAGTTTAAATGAATGGATCCTAGGAAATTTACCAGAAGGTTCAATACCAGAAAAGGAAGGTTGGGATTGATTTTTGGGGTTATGGTACCAAAAGTTTAGGAATTAGGGGCCAAAAAATTGGCCAAAAACAAGCATTTTTGTAGTTTCCGGACAATAACTTTTGTGTTAGTGCATAGATCTCTCAGAAATTGTACCACAAGGTTCCATATCACAAAGGGAAGGCTGGGATTGAGTTTGGGGGTAATTGCTCCAACAGTTTAGGAATTAGGGGCAAAAAAGGGGCCAAAAACCAGCTTTTTCTAGTTTCCAGACAGTAACTTGTGTTTAAGTGTATGGATCTCTCTAAAATTGTACTACTAGGTTCGATACCACAAAGGGAAGGCTGGGATTAATTTGGGGGTAATTACTCCAAGGGAGAGGGGGATCAAAAAGTTTGGGGGGATTTTTTTTTTCCAATTTCTTTTTGGGGTTCATATTTTTTTTCTTCAAAATTTTCCAAATTTCAAATGATTGCACAGTATTGCGCAATAGCAAGAGAGAAATCTTCAATTACAATTGCGCATTAGCACAGTATTGTCCAATAGCAAGAAATCTTCAATTGCACAGTATTGTGCAATAGCAAGAAATCTTCAATTGCACAATATTGCGCAATAGCAAGAAATCTTCAATTGCACAGTATTGCGCAATAGCAAGAAATCTTCAATTACACAGTATTGGGCAATAGCACAGTATTGGGCAATAATAAGAAATCTTCAGTTGCATTGTAATGCGCAATAGCACAGTATTGCACAATAGCACAGTATTGCGCAATAGCACAGTATTGAGCAATAGCACAGTATTGCGCAATAACAAGAAATCTTCAGTTGCACAGTATTGCGCAATAGCAAGAAATCTTTCAATTGCACAGTATTGCGCAATAGCATAGTATTGGACAACAACAAAGTTTTGCGCAATAGCAAGAAATCTTCAATTCCACAGTATTCCGCTATAGCACAGTATTGCACAATAGCACTCTATTGCGCAATAGCACAGTATTGTGCAATAGCAAAAAATCTTCAATTGCACAGTATTGTGCAATAGCAAGTAATCTTCAATTATACGCACAGTATTGCGCAATAGCAAAAATCTTCAATTGCACATTATTGTGCAATAGCACAGTATTGCACAATAGCAAGAAATCTTAAATTGCACAGTATTGCGCAATAGCAAGAAATCTTCAATTGAAAATAAATCCAAATCTTTTAACCAATTTCAATGGGATTAATTTAAAGTCTTTCATTTTTTGGGGATTCTAACCTTGTATTACTTTTTTGGATATTGGGCCCCATTTTTAAATTGGTCTACATTGAGGTCAAAAGGGTCCAAAATTAAACTTTGTTTAATTTCATCAAAAACTGAATTATTGCGGCTGTATGATATGCTGAATTTTATTGTGCATTTAGATTTTTATAGTCGTATATTGGTATGACGTTGGCGTCGTAGTCGTCGTCGTCGTCCGAAGACACATTGGTTTTCACACTCTTACTTAAGTTTAAATGAATGGATCTCTATGAAATTTTACCATAAGGTTGAATACTACAAAAGGAAGGTTGGGATTGATTTTGGGGGTTATGGTACCAACAGTTAAGGAATTAGGGGCCAAAATGGGGCCAAAAATAAGCATTTTTGTAACTTCCAGACATAACTTGTGTGTTAGTGTATGGATCTCTCTGACATTAACCACAAGGTTCCATATCACAAAGGGAATGCTGGGATTGATTTTGGGGGTAATTGCCTCAAAATTTTAGGAATTAGGGGCCAAAAAACAAGCATTTTTCTAGTTTCATGATAATAACTTGTGTGTAAGTGTATGGATCTTTCTGAAATTGTACTACAAGGTTCCATATCACAAAGGGAAAGCTGGAATTCAGTTTGGGGGTAATTGCCCAAAAAGTTTAGGAATAAGGGACCAAAAAGGGGCCAAAAATAAGCATTTTTCTAGTTTCCAGACAATAACTTGTGTTCAAGTGTATGGATCTCTCTGAAATTGTACTGCAAGGTACCATACCACAAAGGGAAGGCTGGGATTGAGTTTGGGGGTGATGAATCATAAGGAGGTTCAAAAAATTGGGGGGAGGGATTTTTTTTTCTTTAAAATTTTCCATTTTAAATTGGTTATTTCTGATTTATATATAAAAGCAAATAATAATGATAATTATGGTTTGAATAGGTAAATTAAAAATTTTAAGTTCTTAGACCACATTCATTCTTTGTCAGAAACCAATGCTGTGTCAAATATTTAATCACAATCCAAATTCAGTGCTGAATCAAGCTTGAATGTTGTGTCCATACTTGCCCCAACTGTTCAGGGTTCGACCTCTGCAGTCGTATCAAGCTGCGCGCAGCGGAGCATTTTACTTATTTTGGGCCTTGTTTTTAAATTAGTCCATATTAAGGTTTGAAGGGTTAAAATTAAACTTTGTTTGATTTCAACTAAAAGTAAATCATTGGTGTGTTTTTATATGCTGAATCTAACCATGTTGTTAGTTTTTGGATATCAGACCATTGTAGGTAAATTAAATGTCCCATTTCAAATTTTTTAAATCTTTGACCACTTTTATTTTGTGTCAGAAACCTATATTGTGTCAAAAATTTGATCACAATCCAAATTCAGACAGTATCAAGCTTGAATATTGTGTCCAAACTTGCCCAAACTGTTCAGGGTTAGACCTCTGCGGTCATATCTGGCTGCGCTCAGTGAAGCATTTTTATTATTATTACTATACTTACCCAGATGCATTTTTTACATTAATAAAAACCTCGCAATAATTTCTGTATTTACAGTATGATTATTATACTCAGACTCAGAAATAAACCAACCAAAAATACTGGATTGGTGTTTCAAGCACAAATTTTGTACTTTTAGTACTTTGTAAATTTTTATGACTGAAAGGCCTGAATCAAAATGAATGTATACGGCTCTCACTGGTACCTTAAAAGCATCAATTACCTTGATGATAGTGTTGCAGTGTGCTGCCTCTATTACAGGAGGTTGTCATTTTAATCCACAGTTTACGCAAAGTGTCAGGGTCAAACCAAAGACTTCGAAATTGGTATTTTCTGTATCTCTGCTAAGGACACAGCATTTACAAATAAAAGCAAAGACAAGTCTACTTGGAATAAGTTTAATGTTCTTGAAAGGATGAAAAAAGCAAATTTAAAAATTCTTTTGGAATATTTTCATTTTTTCTTTGATTTTTGTCATCCACATCAAAATCTCATTAATCTTATTTATAACACCTGAGCAGGTATTTACCGTTAAGTTTACAGGTAATTGTCTTGGTAACAGTTTATGATTACATATTTAACGCTATGTGTCTTGTTAATTAAAGCATGACCTTTTAATCTAGAAGTAATTACGGTCATTTGTTATATTAATTGATTAGACGACTTGATGCTATGAAAACATTACCACTGGGATTTTTGATTCCAGCTTAATTTGCAGGTACAAATTGAACAGATCATTCATCTTTATTATATATTCCCAGACGTATATATATATATATATATATGTTATAACTGGTTGTCTTTGAAAGACTTGTTGTGATACAGCTATATAATATCAAGATGAAAACAAATTAGTTTTTCAAATATCGACTTTTAAAATTAAAAAAAAAATTTGTGATATTTTATCGTTATTCATACATTCACTGCAGCATCATTGATTAGGATTTTATATGGAAGTCTGTCTTAAGGATAACAGCTAAGTGCTAAGACAAATCACTGAATGTTCCGTTTCTTTCATTTACAGGAAACCCAGGGCAGTGATGATTCATCTGGACCTTACCTATCGGACATGATGACTGTAGACAGTGGCGACACAGAGAGTACAGACGACAGTGGCAACAGTCACCGTGGTAACTGGAGTAGTCGTCTTGACTTTGTTCTGTCTTGTCTGGGATATGTTGTTGGTCTAGGCAATGTTTGGAGATTTCCATATCTAGTTTACAGAAATGGGGGAGGTAAGTTGCTATGACAACAATCATTTTACTTAAATAAGATTTTAAATTTGTGGATGCTTGCCTTAGGGTTTCAGTAGATTAACTTGGAAATAAATATAAAAGTAACTCCTGAGCCAAAACTTCTTTAAAGGTATAGTTTCAGAAATATCTGATTACTAAATATTGAAGATTTCATAATTTCTCTATAGTTTCAATTGGATGCTTCTTTACAGGAATAATTTTAGAAACTCTTTTGAAGGGATCTATTATTTCTGGCATTACTAGATATGAATGCAAGGAGATATGTGATTAAGCATTGAAACAATAAAACTAAACAAACATAAAAAAAAAATAAGAAGGAATGCTACATAAATCTGACTGATTAAAGCTTTTTAAATAATGAAAAGTTTTAGTCAATGGATATAAAAAACATAAATTTCAATAAATTAACTTAACATGAGTACTGTGAAGACCATTTTCAAATATACATCAGATATACATGTATTTAATTAAGTAACATGTATTTAGTCACTGAGCAAGTCTTTATATATTTTAATCGGAATATATTCTGATTTTATTCTATTCTCTCCTATGTCTTTTTATGTTTCAAAACAATATTAAATGTTATATAACATGTCTTGGGAATTGATGATATTGCCAATTGATGGTTTCACAGACACAATCCTTTTAATCTATTGAACTAATATTATGGCTTTGATCATACTGTCAAAAGACACAATGCCTGTCAGCAAACGATAAATTCATTCCATACAGTAAAGGAAAATCGATGAATTAAAGCATAACTCTCCTGGAAAAAAAAACACAACACGAAAAAACACATTAACTCAGGTGAAAATCAAAGAATTATACAAACATTACTGAATGGATATACTTGCTGATGTATCAAACACTTTAAAACTGTTTAATGGTACAGTTCAGAAATTCAACACTTGTCCTTATAAATTACCTCAGTATCTTATCCATGAAGTCTTTACTAGCTTGAACATCCAAATATGGTACATTCCCATTAAGTAACACAATTTTCTATTCTGAAAGCAGAAAACTTGTCTTTTTAATGGGTGAAATTATGCTCCTTTAAAAAACTTTTATGGATGCATATTTTAAGGATCATATATATGTTTCTGTCAGCTCAATATTTTCTCTGTCAATTAAATAAATACATTTTAAGGGGGTAGACAGCATTAAAATAAAAATAAGGAGATGTGGTATGATTGCTAATGTGCCAAAAACCTAAGGACAAGGGTGTAAACAACTATAGGTTATTGTACAGCCTTCAACAATGAGCTGAAGTAATGAATGTAAGCCTTCAACATTGAGCAAAACCCATACCATATGGTTAGCTGTAAAATGCCTGTACATGTCAAAATGTGAAACAATACAAATGAGAAAACCATGAGTCTGATAATGATAAAACAATTAATGAAACACAAATATGGCAGACAATAACAAACTACAACCACTGAATAACTGGCTCCTGACTTGGGACAGCCACATAAAAACTTTTGCAGGGTCAAACCTGCCTGACTTTGGGGACAGCCACATAAAGACTGTTGCAGGGTTAACCCTGCCTAACTTAGGACAGCCACATAAAGGCTGTTGCAGGAATAAATCTGCCCGACTTGGAACAGCCACACAAAGACTGTTGCAGGATTAAACTTGCCCAACTTGGGACAGCCACATAAAGACTGTTGCAGGGTTTAACCTGCTTGACTTGGGACAGCCACATAAAGACTGTTGCAGAGTTAAACCTGCCTTAATTAGGATAGCCACATAAAGACTGTTGCAGGGTTAAACCTGCCTAACTTGGGACATCCACTTAAAGACTGTTGCAGGGTTAAACCTGCCTGACTTGGGACAGCCACACAAAGACTGTTGCAGGGTTAAACCTGCATGACTTGGGACAGCCACAAAAAGACTGTTGCAGGGTTAAACCTGCCTGACTTGGGACAGCCACATAAAGACTGTTGCAGGTTTAAACCTGCCTGACTTGGGATAGCTACATAAAGACTGTTGCAGGGTTAAACCTGTCTGACTTGGGATAGCCACATAAAGACTGTTGCAGGGTTAAACCTGTTTGTGATTGTTCATTATTAAAAGCACTATTCAGATGCTTAAGGTTAAGTGCCTGTAGGGATCTTTTTTGTTTTGTCATGAATTAATACACCTTATCCTTTTCTTCTATTTTAGGTGCATTTTTTATTCCCTATATAATTATGTTAGTGACATGTGGAATACCATTAGTGTTCATGGAATTAGCATTTGGACAATATGCCAGTTTAGGTCCAGTTACTGTATGGAGAGCAGTTCCACTATTTAAAGGTAGAATATATTGGTTAGACATTTCAGTGAAAGTCAATTATGAATTCATAAATATTCGTCATGTTATTACCAAACCAGCAATGGTAACAGTGTGGACATTCCAATGTTTACAAATAAAATACATTGGTTAGACATTTAAGTAAAAGAAAATTATGAAACCAGCAAAACACTGTCTGAAATCTGAAACTTCTCTTAAATCTGAAACTTCTCTTAAATCCGTTTAGTTTTTAGATGCTTAGAGTCTGAATATTGTAGAAAGAGAGATGAGGTAGATGTATATGAAACAATATTTCCATAATATGTATGCGAAAATGTATGAAGTTTTGATTATTAAGCTAAAATAATGAAATTCAAGTTCAGTGAGTTGGCCTTTTAACTAAAATTGCTGAAAACATCCTAACAATACAATATAGAAATAAGGCGATGTGGTATGATTGCAAATGAGACAACTATATCCACCAGAGACCAAAGGCTGGGGATGTAAGCAATTAAAGGTCACTGTATGACCTTCAATAATGAGCAAAACCCATACAATATGATAAGCTATGAAATTTCTGGCATGATAAAATGTGGAACAATTCAGAAGAAAAAAAAAAGCAACAGTCTGATCTATGCTCAAAACAAATATGGAAGACAACAACCACTGACATAGGACATTCACATAAAGAATATGGCAGGTTTTAAAACATTTGTGAGTACCCTCCTTACTTACCTGTGGTGTACAGCACAACACAAGAACAAACTCTAACTTGAGTGTACCTAAATTGCACCTATTTTGACAGTTTTTTCACCTAAGTTTATTTATGATACAGACAAAAGTTTCCATTCTGTGTTTATTTTGTAGATGTATCCTTATTGCTCATTTTTAAAAGTAGACTTTTTGTGGACGTCAATACGTTTCCGTAGATTTACTTTTTCCAGTGAATACTTCATATGTTGATAAATACTGTGAACATTTTGTGTGTATTTAAATATATTTAGCTATGTTGAAAGAAGTGCATAATGTCAAATCATAAATATACAAATTGTTTAGTCTCTTAGAAAACTTGTACGATTTCTGCTGCTATTTTTGCTAAATGGTTGCAATTTGGGTACTGTGACGTTAAAGTTTAGCCTGACTAATCAGATTGGTATGTAGCACAACAACAAAATTAACAAATAGACAAAAAACACAAAGTACCAATCTAAGTGTACTTTTAACATGTTTTCATTCTGAAAATGATACAAAGTTGAGTTTAAGAATTAAAAATTGCTCTTTTTTCAGGCATTGGTATGGCAATGGTTCTATCAAGCTTTGTTGTGTCTATCTATTACAACATGGTGAATGCTTGGGCAGTTCATTATCTGTTTTCTTCCATGACAGCTACACTTCCTTGGTTTAATTGTGGAAATGACTGGAACAATCCAAACAGTAAGTAACAACTCTCTTCTATGGAATTAGTTTAGAACTTTTATTATAAAATAATGCTATTCCTGACTTAAAAATTTGTGATTTACAGTCAAAATGCTATAATGGTCACTTCCATTAAGCAAAATACTGTCTTGTTGGATGACCCTCTTCTTGTCCCATTGTAAGGAATACTTATGCATTTTGAATTTAAATTCAAAGACCACCTCTCTTATGAGGTCAGTTTTCTTTGGTCCTGAGATGAATCTGTATATGCAGGTTTGACCTTATTACCAATTTGTGTGAATTTTTTTAGATTTTTATTTTCAAACCCTTTCATGTTTTCATTTGACCTTTAATTAAAAGCAAAAACTAGGATCAGCATATGGTTTAACTTGAGAAATGATGGATGGATTTATTGAAGGTTTCTTATTTTCTTTCTGAAAGATAATTGTCCACACCAAATCGTTTGTTGATTTTTAAGTCCACTTTTAGTGACCTTGGGTATATCATAATGGCCAGTTTTGTATGGCGGAGGAAGCCTTGAGTACCTGGAGAGAACACCAAAAATTGATAAGGGGGTTAAATTTTCCAGTAATTATTTTTTCAGAAATGCCTGTTCTCAGCCTGAATGATCAGTTGCCTCATTTTATTTTGCCACACAGTAAGGAGTTATAGGATTCTAGATACAGAATAAAACTTTCTAAAAATGTCTGCAATGAAAAATATGAGATTGATATGAGTATGTTTAGCAGATTGAATTAAATTGAAAATCATAAAAGGTATAACCCAAACTAGATGCACTTAAAATGTTTTTGGCTAAAGTTATTTCAAAGTAGTCTAGTTTAAGAAAGAGACTACATTATAAAAAGTTAATGTAGGTATTTATGGCAGTAGTATTGTTTGGGAAAGCAAAACTATATCGAGAAGGCACCATATAATCTTATTTTTTTCAACTTTCCCCATAGCATTGTCATAGACATGACTATGATGACTTAATTTCAAGAGCAACAAAACTGAATTTACATATTTTTATGCCCCATTTATGGGCATATGTTTTTCGGTCTGTGTGTCCGTTCATTCGTCCGTCCGTCCGTCTGTCCCGCTTCAGGTTAAAGTTTTTGGTCAAGGTAGTTTTTGATGAAGTTGAAGTCCAATCAACTTGAAACTTAGTACACATGTTTCCTATGATATGATCTTTCTAATTTTAATGCCAATTTAGAGTTTTGACCCCAATTTCACTGTCCACTGGACAGAGAAAATGATAGTGCAAGTGGGGCATCCATGTACTATGGACACATTCTTGTTTTTATAGTCATGATAAGAGTTTTAGAATCCAATTCATCTTAGTCGTAATACTTTCAGAGGTATCTTTCTCACATTAAGAAAGGGAAAATCTTGAAGTTCTAAAAAATTCTTTTGCTGAGCATCTGAGAGAAAAGATTTGAAACAGTATGCCTACTTAACAATTTGCTTAAGTTTAAGTTTCAGTTGTTTTTATTGATTTAAATGGAATTTTGCTAGAAAATGCATATGACACATTATCTCTAAATATGACAACCGATTTTATTTGGACTGATATAAATCATACTATTAGTCCAGTATAGTAGTCTAATCACTAGACCAAAAGTAGCATCATGCCAATATTTTGTCAAACTTACTACCATAAATCTTTTTAACAAACCAAAACTTGAAACATTGATTGTCCACAGTCCTTAGAAATACTTGTCAAAATACGATTAAAGCTGATTTGATATATAGGTCAAAATATGGGAAAATGGACAAGTAAATATTGTGGTACTTCAAAATAATGATGCATTATTCCCTCTTTACAAGGAATACTTTTTTTTTATTTAATCAATAGTTTACTATGGATAATAGAAATGTTTATCAAGTGTTGAAACAATTATCAGAGAAATCATGAGTGTTCGATTTGTTTGAAGGGTTTGTTTGTTATGTATCTTAGTTAATTTGATAGGATAAAACATATATATTCATTCTGAAGATTTAACACATTAAAGTGTACTATTGAACTTGAAAACTACTCAAACTATCTGATTTTCAGTATCAAATGTTGAATCGATGTACTCTAATAAAACAATGAAATATTTATATTTAGTTCAATTCATGGCCTTTTTAAGATTTATACAGCCAAGACTTGACAGTAAATTCATTAGAATGATGAAATTTTGACTTTGACTTTTAGATGCTTACACTACTGTTGCCCATAAAGATATTTAAACAGAAAGTGTACTTTGTGATTATATATTCTTTGGCAAATAAAAAATTATGGAAAAGCTATTGCTCTTTGTTAATTTACCTAAAAAATTCTTAAAACAGAATTTTTTTGCACAGAATCTGACAAATCTTGCTTTTGACATCACAGTCAAATAGTGTCATTAATAAAGCTTGGCTGATATTCAAATTGTTGTATGCCCCTGCCGTAGGCAATGGGGGCATTAAGTGTTACCCTTGACCGTCCATCTTTCCGTCTATCCCATTTTCGTCTCCACACTCTAACTTAAGTTTTCCGCATGCAAATTTAATGAAACTCATACACAATGCTAAGAACCACAACACACCATCAGAGTTCCAATTTGGGCAGTGAATCATTTACCGTTCTAGAGTTATGCCCCTTTTTAACTTGGAAAATTGCAAAGCTTGATTGGGGGCATTCGTGTCCTCAGACACATTCCTCTTTTATCTGAAAAGCCTTTCTTTTGATAATAAAAAAAATGTGAAAAGTAATGCACTGCTTCAATTTTCAGTTAATATACAGGGTCAAATACTGTGGATTCCTTTATTTTCATCAGTACCAATTTTTGTGGTTTGATGAAAACTTGAATATTTGATATTTGATTTCATGGTTTTGCCATACAAATCTTTAGAAAATTTGTTATACGTTGAAAAATTTTAGATTTGTGGTTCACCTGTGTCCACAAAACCCACGAAAACTGGTATTATACGAATAATGAATCCTAAGAACCATAAATGTATCTTCACTTATATTTCTCAATTAGAGTATTTAATTGGTATTTAAAACATTCAATAGATTATTTTATTAATTGAAATATGTTATTAACGAGTAAATTTATAATTGTCAACAAATTCTCAAAATATGAAGAATGCTATAAATATTAAACAATGCTCTTAAATTTAAATTGATTTTTGACAATTTTAGTACAGGATTCATTATTTTTCTAAAATTTGGCAATAGACATAACGTAATTTTAGTGTTATTGAGTGTTATAAATTAATATATTGTGTATGAATCTTTAATTTTTCATTTCTTTGGATGGAAAGATACCAATATTCGCTGAGTGTTGTAATATTAACCGATTTAGAACAGAAATTACGAGACAAATAGTTTGAGTTATCTAATGTATATTGATCCTTACGGAACAAGGTTTTCATAGCAGTGAGTGGTTTAATTATTTCTCATAAATATTAAATAGATTTTTTAATTGTTCAGTTTTTGAAATGTTCTCAATTTAAATGTTTTGGCATGAGGTTTTACAAATTTAAAGATATTTGTTTGTCTATTTAAACCAAAAGTTTTCTAAAAGCTTTTAATTGTTTGAGAATTGTTGACAACTTGAAGCTTCATAGTGAAAACAATAGTTAACTGTGGCTTTTCAAAGCCAGGTATTAGACATGGAGAAGTTGCCGTTGTTATTGTATAACAACAGCTAATTATTTGAAGCACCATAGAACAAAATAGCAACTGTTTATTGTGGCTTTTCAAAGCTAGGTATTCAACATTAATTGGTTTAAACTGTTTACTGTTGTATGACAAAAAGTAGTTCTTGTACCATTTGATATTATTTGATAAAAAATGATCTCTTTAAAACACACAGTCTGTGTCTTTGCTTCACTGATAATGATGCAACAGCATCATTTTACTTCCTGTTGTGAAGATTTTTTGGGATCATGAGGTTTTGTTGTAATGATAAACACTCAAAATAATTTAGAGGCAGTAATTTCATTGGTTGAGGTAATTGTTATTAAAACAGAAAATCAATGGCTCTTGCAGAGGCTTGTTTGCAAAGCATGAAGGCAGGATCTGTTAAATTGGAATAAATCAAAGTACTGAAGTACTGAACATCGGATGACCGCAAGTTCTGGTGGATAGTCACAGGCAAAAACTCAAGTCACGTGGGTAGAAATGTCTGTGGCAACATAACACCAGAATGCCCTCAAGGGCATCTGCTGTAAAAATGAGTACATGAGATTCATGAATGTGATGTATTTACCTCATGTCATCCCGCTTGCTCTGATCTATAAATAACATTGAAATGTTCCCGATGTTATTCTCTAGTATATTTTTCTTTTGCAGGATGTAGTAAGAACATATTTGAAGTTAGTAATTGTTCATATTTCAACAGTTCATATGTATACCAGAACCAGTTTCAAAATCATTCCTGTTTCCCTGTCCTTGCAAACTGTTCTCTGTACAGCCAGAATGAGACAAAATTAGTAACAGATTGCATAACAGAATTAAGACGAGAGTTTGGTGCTGTTGTCCTAACAACAGATCGTCATACAAAGTTGACAACTCCAAGTGAGGAATATTTTTAGTAAGTAGTGGTTTAGCTTTTTCTAATACATAAATCTATTGCATATATTTATTTCTTTGTGAAAAAAAAGCTTCATTGGGTCATTTGTAAAAGTTGATATTTAAAGAGTAACAAAGAGACCACAAAGGGAAACTCAAATAATGGACTTGTCCCCTGTTCATCTGCTTTAACAGACATAAGAAAAAAAAGTACAAACATTCTTCTTCCCCTCTTACTTTTGATTGTCAAGGAAGACATATATGTAAATAGTTTCTGTAGAATGTTAATTGAATTGACCAATAATAAAATTTATATTTCTCAATTAGCTGTTGACAATGCTTGATAAAATCTTAAATTGATGAATTAAAATATTAATTCATGATATGAAATCACTACACACAATTGACAAAACCAAAAGAATAGGAACAGCATATTTATTGCTGTTCTTCATCTTAATATCATATTGAGGCTTTCCTGATGAAGGTAAAACCAGAAAATCTCTTTGTACATATTAAAATTATGAAGTTTTATTTTCATTTTCAACACGAAGAAAAGGCTCATTCCTCACAAGTTTTTTTTATGTTTATTCATAATTTTTTATTCACTGTTTCTATTTTTCAGTAACAGAGTTTTGAATGTATCTGGAAGTCTTAGTAATGTTGGGGGTATCCAGTGGGAGCTTGCATTATGTCTGTTACTCTGTTGGGTGGTTGTGTTTGTATGTCTGGTTAGAGGAATCAGAACCTCAGGAAAAGTAAGTATATCTTATATTCTCCCTCACTACGTTTGTCCGAATAAAAAGTAATTATATTCTATGGCCTTAGTAAAGGGCAAAGATCTAATGTAGCTGTGCTACTCGCTTTAACCTTTAATTCTATATCTTATGTATCAAATACATGTACAAACACAATAAGAATAGTAATCATAATTACAAATACAAATTCACATCAAATTATTCGTGAATACATGTGTCTCATACGTATGTCTATTAACTTTAGGCTATAGCGAGAGTCGATGATCAGAAAGATGACCGCACAGGTTTTAAGTGCAAACAAATGGTCACATGTCATGAATATTCATGAGCGGACAACGAACTAAATCTTATTTATAAAACTCCTCAGATGATTGGTTGGTGTTTAACCCCACTTTAAGCATGCCTCGCTATATCTTGACAGCCAGTTTTAATTGGTGGAGGAAGTCTGAATACCCTGAGAAAACCTGTGATCTTTGGCAGGAAAACTGACAATCCTAGTCAATTTAGATAGGGGTCAAATTCACCTTGCCACAAGTGTTGTTCAAACTCATAACCTCAGTGTTTAAAATACTTGACATATAAATAAAGATGATTAGTTGATGTCAATAAATTTGAACAAACCAACACCATTAATATACCAAAAATAGAGACCTGGATGTAACCAAGTTTATATATTTCCATCCTTCATATACATCTACCACAAAATTTGAGTGTATTATGTGTTATATTATTTTGGCTTGAAATCATCTGCATCTTACTAGTCTTAGGAAAGAAGCTGGGTTTTATGGACACATTGTAAAATTTGTTTTTTTAATATAAAGATGTTTATTTAGATTTTGCTTCTTTTTTTTTTTTAAATCTTTTTAAAAGAAAATAGCATTTTATAAATTTGATGGGTTCAAAGCCCTTTCTGGATTTACCTTCATGTGAAGGTCTCATCCCTTAAACTTGAAAGCTGAATGATGTATAACTTCTTTAACTTCTGCTCATAATAGAAACATGATATAATGAAAATTGATAACCCGGCAAGGGTATGGAGTTTGATTTTTTGCAATATGTTCAAGTTTTAAATTTATCTTGATTGATTGATTCATTGTTGACTTCTCAACATCCAGTTGAAATTGATCTTGACCGAATTAATTTCTCACAATGAAATTTATAACAGCTCTCTCTTCTTTTTTAAGGAATTTGCTTTCAAAGAACCAATTGAAGTAAAATAAAGAATTAAGGGCAGCATATTTCAATAATTGTTCAAATTTTTGCAGATAGGGTATTTTGTTGTAACGTTTCCCATGGTATTTAAATGATCTTAAATATAATTGTTCAAATTTTTGTAGATTGCATATTTTGTTGTTACCTTTCCTATGGTAATTATGATGGTCCTGTTAGTACGAGCATTAATGATGGAAGGTAATATCAAAGGAATCAAGTTCTATGTCACGCCCAAGTGGGAGAAGTTAAAAGAACCAAAAGTATGGGCAGACGCTGCAGTACAGGTGTTCTTCTCATTGTCAGCTTGTATGGGAGGATTAACTACACTTGCCAGTTATAATAAATTTCACAATAACATATATAGGTAAGTGACATTTATGGATTAAGATTATGTACATTTGGGGTACATAATTGATTTTAGTAAAAGAAGTAAAAGAAAAGCTTCTGCATCCCATTTTACAAACTATTTTATGACAGAAATACTTGTAAGAAAAGAACGTTACACTTCAGTATATCATTTAGGTTTTTTTGCAAAAAGAGCCCCTGGGTTTTATATCCACAACAAAATTTTGACATCTTTTTTTGAAATAAAGGAGTAGACTTATAAAGTGTCACTATCAGCCAAGAAGTTCATGAAATTAAAGTTTTGTAGTTTAGACAATATTGACCAAATTCAAGGATCATAATTATAACAGATTGTTTATTGACCGATCCGCATAATGTTTTACGTACAATTTGTAGAGTGCTGGCTAGCAATAACTTTTTACATACAATTTGTAGGATGATGGCTAGCCATAATTTTGTCTCGATTTGATGGAGTCAAAAAGTGAGACATAGGTATCTTGTTTCCTGCGGCGGTGGCATAAATAATGTATTAGTTTGTGATTAGGTTAGTTTTATGGGGAACCACTAGTGGTAGGTCAATGATATTTGGTATGCAGTTGTATTAGCATTGGCAAATCTCATTTCCATGGAGATTGTTTGGCTCCGCTCCCTCAGTCCTGGTCTATTGACTTGGAAACTTTTGCTTAGGTACGTTACATGTATTAGTTTGTGATTTAAGGTCAGTTTATAGGGAACCACTAGTGGTAGGTCAATGATATTTGGTATTTAGTTATACTAGCATTGGCAAATCTCATTTCCATAGAAATTGTTTGGCCCCTCCCCCTCAGTCATGGTCTATTGACTTTGAAACTTTTGCTTAGTTTACATGTATTAGTTTATGATTACATCAGTTATTTGGAAACCACTATGGGTAGGTCAATGATATTTGGTATGCATATGTATTAGCTTTGGCACATCTCATTTCCATGGAGATTTTTTTTGGCCTTGTATCTGCAGTCATGGTTCATGGACTTTAAATATTTGACATAACTTAGATATTAAAGTATTGCTATTTTGATTTCAACATTTGCATTTTACTATCAAAATAACAAAAAGGGGAGACATATCTCTGTGTTAACAGTTTATTTACATATCAATTTGTATAGTGATGGCTAGCCATAATGTTTCACATATCAATCTGTATAGTGATGGCTAGCCATAATGTTTCACATATTAATTTGTTGATTGATTGCTTAGGCTATAAATGTTCACATATCAATTTGTCGGGTGATGGCTTAGTCTATAACCTTTCACATATCAATTTGTAGGGTGATGACTAGCCATAACGTTTTACATACCATTAGTAGGGTGATGGCTAGCCATAACTTTATACATAGAATTTGTAGGTTGATGGCTAGCCATAACTTTTTACATAGAATGTGTAGGGTGTTGGCTAGCCATATCTTTTACATAGAATTTGTAGGGTGATGGCTAGCCATAACTTTTTGCATACAATTTGTAGGTAGATGGCTATAGCCACAACTTTTTACATAGAATTTGTAGGGTATGTGGCTAGCCATAATTTTTGGCATACAGTTTGTAGGGTGATGGTTAGCCATAACTTTTACATAGAATGTGAAGTTGATAACTAGCCATAACTTTTTACATAGAATTTGTAGGGTGATGGTTAGCAATAACTTTTACATATCAATTTGTAGGGTGATGGCTAGCCATAGCTTTTTACATACAATTTGTAGGGTGATGGCTATCCATAACTTTTTACATAGAATTTGTAGGGTGGTGGCTAGCCATAACTTTTTACATAGAATTTGTAGGGTGATGGCTAGCCATAACTTTTTCATAGAATTTGTAGGGTGATGGCTAGCCATAACTTTTTACATAAAATTTGTAGGTGATGGCTAGCAATACATTTTATTATTACATTGAAATTATAGGGTGATGGCTAGCCATAACATTTTACATAAAATAGGGTGATGGCTAGCCATAACTTTTTACATACAATTTGTAAGGGTGATGGTTAGCCATAACTTTCTATATACAATTTGTAGGGTGATGGATAGCAATAACTTTTACATACAATTTGTAGAGTGATGACTAGCCATAACTTTGTTTATACAATTTATAAAGGTGATGACTGATCATATCTTTTCTACTTTATACTCCACAGACTTGCACATGCTTGTTTTGACAACAATCTATGGAAGAACAAATGATTACACTGGCTTAGTTATTCATTATTCTTATATATAATGATTTAATACATTGGTTCATATTTCAAGCAAATTTTGAAATATTTTTTACCCTCATGAGTATATTACTGTACTGCTTTCAGTGATGCAATATTGGTGTGTTTAGGAGATACACTAGTTAGTGTGTTAGCTGGATTCTCCATGTTTGCAATGCTTGGAGTACTAAGTCATGAACTAGGTGCAGATATTGAAAATGTCATTCAATCTGGTGAGTGTTCTAGTTTTCCTTGATATAAAAATAAAAGGATGTGGTATGGTTGCCAATGTGACAACTACCCAACTGAAACTAAATGACAGATATATAGATGTTAGCAACTATAGGTCACTGTACAGCTTCAGTAATGAGCAAAAACCCTTACTTTATAGTATATAAGCTATAAATGGTTCTGACTCGCCAAATTATGAAACATTTTTTAACCAGAAAAACAACAGTCTGATTTATGGTCTAAACAGCTAAACCAAAAACAAATATGACAAGACAGCAACCAATGACAACATATGTAATGAAGGCTTCTGGGATTCAATTTATTAAAGCATCAACTATGTGGGCAGAAATTATTTTCACTATATAAAACATATATTCTTCAGTGTGATAAGAAATAACAAAAGCAATTAAAATACACTTACAAAATTCATCTTTAATTATATTTCCATAACAAATTCTGTAAGATTAATGTAATTATATAAGAATTGTATTTATTTTCTATTTCAGATATAGGACTAACATTTATAGTAAATCCAGAAGCCATGTCATATTTTCCTATTTCTCCATTATGGTCCATTTTATTTTTCCTCATGATTGTCATGCTGGGGATCAGTACACAGTTTGTTAATGTAGAAACTGTAATCACAGCCATCATTGATGAAAATATAACTCTCTTCAGACGAAGGAGGATTGCTGTTTTATTTGTTGTCTGTTCATCATTATTTCTACTTGGTCTTCCTTTAACCACACAGGTAATTAGCATGCTTTTAGGCATTCTTAAGCACATTATTTTAAACAGGTTATTGATCTGTTTTAAAATTGAGCCACTGGCCATGCATTATTATTGAAAGACAAATAATTATTTTGTCAGAAGGCATATCTTTGATCAAAATAAAGGTCTATATATGAAATTGATTTGGTACGGAAATTTAAAACAACAACCTTTACATAGATTAAATGTTTTTCAAAAGAGTATTTGTTACACTTCAATATAAGGAAAAAATTACAAAAAAAATACTGTTAACCTACTTTTCATGCATGACTGTCCTAATCTGTACAACTTAATTATATAGGATATTGTGGCTTATCTGACTGAAATTATAAAACAGGTAATGTTTCAAGCTGTTGCTCGCACCTATCCTGTTTTACCTTTGAAATAGGAAATGATTTCAAACATATCTTTTTCAGAGTGGTTTGTACATATTACGTGTTATAGATGAATACGTAGCAGGATTCCCAATCATGGTTACTGGTATATTTATGTGTATATCCATTGGCTGGTTTTATGGTGTAAAACAGTTTTCTGCCAATATAAAACATATGATTGGTCATCACACAGGCTACTGGTGGCATGCCTTGTGGTGTGTCATAACTCCATTGATTATACTGGTACGTATTAATAATTCTTATATAATTTGCATATCTACAAATACTTGAATATAATTGGTTTATTAAATTTTTTTTTTTGGTATATAATTCAATAAACTACTTTTGTAACATTCATTACCGCTATGACGATTTCACTTTGATATATTCATGCATAAGATATCGAAATAAAATCCTGGGGTTCCAAGAAAACTGAAATTGAAAGAACTAAATTGGAAAATGGGAAATACCAACTTCTGATTGGAAAATGTGAGACAAATATTTCGTCCAATTATGGTACTGCAGTAGTGTTTCAAACATCCATAATAAGATATTCAAATGTCTAATTTTATAGTTACTTAGGGTATTTAAAAAAAGAACTGCCATGTTTTGACATTGGATAAAGTTGTTTCTCATGTTATATACAAAGGGAGATATTTGGTCAATGTCATAGTTGACATTTTTCACTGAAACAGCCTGAGACTATTATGTAATTCATTCAGCAGTTAAATTAAGATAATGTTGAAAGGACTGAAGTTTAATATTTTAAAATTTAATCTGAGTGGCCATTTGTCAGTCTTCAGTATATCACTCATCCATCTAATGACTCTTATTTAATTCATTCAAAAGAGATAATTTTCTTGCATTCCATGAATTTAAAAGATAGGGGCATGTAAAATTGTATAATGATGGAGTTTGTTTTGCTTTTTTTGTTGCATATAACATATTACTGTTATAATTTCTTTACATTTATACAAGGCCCTCAGAATCTGAGTTGCCTTGGTTAGATTTTAATATATTTTAGTAATATTCATGTATTTTTAGCTCACCTGGCCCGAAGGGCCAAGTGAGCTTTTCGCATCACTTGGCGTCCGTCGTCCGTCGTTGTTACCTTTTTACAAAAATCTTCTCCTCTGAAACCACTTTGCCAAATTTTACCAAACTTGACCACAATCATTATTATACCCCACGCAACGAGTTGCGGAGGGTATAATGTTTTTGACCCATCCGTCTGTCCGTCTGTCCGTCCGTCTGTCTGTCCGTCCGTCAGTCCGTCAGTCCTGTTTCTTGTCATCGCAACTCCTCTCAAAACACACAACATAATTTAATGAAACCTTTTTAGATAATAAGGACATACCATGTAGTTGTGCATATCGACAGGAAATTACGATTCAATTTTTTTCTAGGAGTTACGCCCCTTTGAACTTATTTACTTTAATGTACTACTGCAACAGTTTGTCATCTCAACTCCTCTGAAACCACACAACAAAATTTCATAAAACTTTGTAGATAATAAGGACATACTACGTAGATGTGCATATCGACAGGAAATTACGATTCAATTTTTTTTCCAGGAGTTACGCCCCTTTGAACTTATTTGCCCAATATACTACTGCAACCTTTTGTCATCGCAACTCCTCTCAAACCACACAATAGAATTTCATGAAACCTTTTCAGATAATAAGGACATACTACGTAGATGTGCATATCGACAGGAAATTACGATTCAATCTTTTTTCTAGGAGTTACGCCCCTTTGAACTTATTTGCTTCAATATACCTCTGCAACAGTTTGTCATCGCAACTCCTCTGAAACCACACAACAGAATTTCATGAAACTTTGTAGATAATAAGGACATACTAGGTAGATGTGCATATCAACAGGAAATTATGATTCAATTTTTTTTCTAGGAGTTACACCCCTTTGAACTTATTTACTTTAATGTACTACTGCAACAGTTTGTCATCTCAACTCCTCTCAAACCACACAACAAAATTTCATGAAACTTTGTAGATAATAAGGCCATACTACGTAGATGTGCATATCGACAGGAAATTACGATTCAATTTTTTTTCCAGGAGTTACGCCCCTTTGAACTTATTTGCCCAATATACTACTGCAACCTTTTGTCATCGCAACTCCTCTCAAACCACACAACAGAATTTCATGAAACCTTTTCAGATAATAAGGACATACTACGTAGATGTGCATATCGACAGGAAATTACGATTCAATTTTTTTTCCAGGAGTTACGCCCCTTTGAACTTATTTGCCCAATATACTACTGCAACCTTTTGTCATCGCAACTCCTCTCAAACCACACAACAGAATTTCATGAAACTGTTTAGATAATAAGGACATACTATGTAGATGTGCATATTGACAGGAAATTATGATTCAATTTTTTTATCTGATACAACTTTTTTTTCTTACACTTATTTTATTTCTCCAATGACAATGTGGGGACGTTGGGTATGTGAGCGTGCTCACTAAGGTTCTTTCATTAGGGTATCTAGTTTAAAAAATGTGTCCGATGACCCCGCCAACCAACCAAGATGGCCGCCATGGCTAAAAATAGAACATAGGGGTAAAATGTAGATTTTGGCTTATATTTCTGAAACCAAAGCATTTAGAGTAAATCTGACATAGGGTAAAACTGATTATCAGGTCAAGATCTATCTGCCCTGAAATTTTCAGACAAATCTGACAACCTGTTGTTGGGTTGCTGCCCCTGAATTGGTAATTTTAAGGAAATTTTGCAGTTTTTGGTTATTATCTTGAATATTATTATAGATAGAGATAAACTGTAAACAGGAATAATGTTCAGCAAAGTAAGATCTACAAATAAGTTGTCATGACCAAAATTGTCAGTCAACCCCTTTAGGAGTTATTGCCCTTAATAGTCAATTTTTAACAATTTTTTGTAAATTTTTGTAATCTTTTACAAAAATCTTCTTCTCTGAAACTACTGAGACAAATTTAACCATACTTGGCCATAATCATTATTAGGGTATCTAGTTTAAAAAATTTGTCCGATGACCCCGCCTTCCAACCATCATGGCCGACTTGGTTAAAAATAGAACATAGGGGTAAAATGCAGTTTTTGGTTTATATCTCTGAAACTAAAGCATTTAGAGCAAATCTGACAGGTGGCAAAAATGTTCATCAGATTTAGATTTATCTGCCCTGAAATTTTCAGACAAATCCGACAACCCGTTGTTGGGTTGCTGCCCCTGAGTTAGTAATTTTACAAAAATTTTGCAGTTTTTTGTTATTATCTTAGATATCATTATAATATCTAATACTATTAATTATGATTTTAACCTTATTTTACATGATTTCCAAAGCATCAGTAAATACAGGTGAGTGACACAGGCTCTTGAGAGCCTCTAGTTACAATAGATTTTTCTTTTCAGTTCATCCTGGTATTTTCAGCAGTAGGGTATGAGCCATTGTCAGCTAAATACAGTATTGATATTTACCCAGTATGGACAGAAGTTGTTGGTTTTATAATCCTAGCCATTCCTGTTATAACCATTCCAATCTTCTTAATTTATAAATTATGTAGAGGTCAAGGATTATTGTCTCAGGTATGTAGAGTTCAAGTCAATTGTTTCAATAAATTCCAGTTCAACATATGTAAAAGTCAAGGAAAATTGTCTTGGAAATGCATAGTTCAGACAATTGTTTCACATGTGTATTGGTCAATGTTAGTTGTCTTATTGTTTATAGTAAAGGTTAAGGTTAATTGTATAATATAGGTAGAGGTTGAAGTTATTGTGTCACATTTTGAAAGATCAAATATGTTAAGGCATATTGTCTTGGCTACATATGGTAGTTTGTATGGTGTATTTCATTTCTTTCACTCACTTGGCGAGAACACAATCTGGCAAAAGAAAAAGTTAATATATTTCAAACACAATGCATTGTCATTACTGTGGATTCATTTTTATTCGTGGTATACCAATTTTGTGGGTTTCGTGGGTCACAGCGAACCACGAATTTAAGAATTCAACGAAGAATAATCCTGAGAAATGTGTATGGAGTCGGATGTTTATTTCCGGTTATGTTATGCAGTTCTAGTATAGTGTTGACTATCGATAAATATTGTAACATAACACGTGTTTTTAATGAAAGAAGATACAAGTATTTTGATTAAATCAATAATAATAATTTCAGTGATAATTTACTTTTTAAAATTGATTAAAACTGTTCATGGAAAATAACTGCAAGTTGTTAATCACCGTGTCATAGTTTGGTTTACTGGTGATTAAGAATCAATAGGATTAAGTACGGGGATATTGCCTGTAGGTAATATTGTTTTTGACAGGAGCATGTATTTTCACACCTTTTACTTATATGACTGTTTATTATATCGTGATTAAGGAAATGAGCTTTCAATCATAGAGTTTTGAATGCCTTATAAAATTCCGACAAGAATTTATAAATTGTAAAACAAACAAATAATTAGTTGTCTCTGTCCATTATTGTAATAGAAGTTTTCAATGAACACTTTAACCTATCTAGAATGACCAAGCGAGGATTTTGACAATTCAAAACTTTTTCTATGAATTCCTTCTTTTTTGTTTGTTTTATTATTGATCAAATCAAGGAGGTTATATGATCTAAATCAAAAATAAATCCACGAATTACGTATCTGATTTTTTTTTTTTTTTTTAATCAGCGATCCACGAATTTACGTATACCACGAAACGTCTTTTTTTCTCTATCCACGAAAATTGATACCCACGAAAATAAATGAATCCACAGTATATAAAAAAAAACATTGGATAAAGAGTTTTCAATTAAGATATCAATGGTTCTATTTCTTTCTTAACTTATTTTCAAGTAATTTATTTATGAATATTGATAACCAGATACAATTCATTCAACAACAATGTATCAATATATTACATTTTTTCTGTGAGTTCACATTTAAGATGATATTAGTAATGTGTAAAATAAAATGCAATTTCATGGCTTTAGATTAAATTATTCTTATAATAAAGTTAAAAGGCCTGCATGTAAACCAGCTTATTTTTACAAGCAATTTATTTATAAATAGTCACAAATATATCAAGCTTGTTCTTCTTTTGTATTTATACACCAACAAAGATGAAAAAATGCCCAAAAACACAGTTAGGTTGGCTTGAAAATGCCAAATGTTGAAAAAAAAAGATTCACAAAAACAAGTCAGGTGTACTGTATATATCAAATGCTGAGGGTATTTGTATAGTCTATTCTTACAATGTCTTAATTATACCCCCGCTTTAAAAAAGTGGGGGTATACTGTTTTACTTCTGTCTGTCCATCCGTCAGTCCGTCTATCCGTCCCATGAATATTTTTCGTTCTTTCTCAGGAACTACATCATAAGGATTTCTGAAATTTGGTTTCAGGGATTATATAAGTCAGCTATACCGTGTGATGCGTTTTCAGATTCATCACTCAACAATTTCCTGTTTACCAAACACTTACATATTTTTACACTATTAAAATTATCCATATTTGGGACGGGGTATCATTAGTGAGCAGTAGCTCACAGTTTCACTTGTTCTATCATAATCTTAATTGTGTTCTGATTTTAGAGATTCCATGTAGCATGTCAGTCTGAGGCTAATTGGGGTCCTGCTTTAGAGAGACATTGGAAGAATGTAGAATATTTCCCTGCTGTAAATACCAACACATTAGCTGTTGATATTGACCACTCTCCATTACACACAGTATCAGGTGAGCTTGAACACTCCCTGATACACACAGTATCAGGTGAGATATGATCAACTATATGCATGACAAGTTGTAGTTTTTGACCATTTACCTTAAATCCTAACACTTAAGCAATAGATATTGCCTATTCTCCATTACACTCAGTATAAAGGTTAGATATGAGGAACGATTTAAGATCAAAGCAAAGGACAAGATGTGGGTTGGAATTTATTAGGTAGATATAGAATTAAAATAGACCATTCTCCATTGCAAGCTCAAGTGTATTCATTTTGGCAGTATTACCTGTATTTTGTTATAAACTGGTTTATTGAGTATTCTGTATTGTTTATTATTTATTACCAACATGATTGTGCAACCAGGCTGTTTTATCATTTCATTCATATCTTCATCAGAAATAGTACCTAGCAAATGTGTCCAAGTATTAAACTGAAAATAGCATTAATGGTGATCACTTGATATGATGAAGAAAATTAAGAGATTCTTTGCATCTGGAATACAATATTTTTAAATAAATTAAATATTTGGGATAAACATGAATTATCTCCCTTTCAATTCATTACATTAAAAAAAGAAATAAGCCTCAGTTATTAAACCGATTTCTTGACACATCAGAATTATCAAAAATAGTTTGAATTTTCTTTCTTAATTATATTTTATCTAAAAGAAGAGCATGTAGTGATGATGTTTTCATTTTTCATTTACAGATCATGTTCATTTTACCACAGTTGGTGTACGTGTTCCAAGCTTGTCACAAGCCAGTCTCATTCCTAAACCACCTTTGTCCCCAAAGAAACCCAGAGATATGAGAGAACGAGCCATACTCAATCATGCTTACACCAATCCCCAGTTCCATCAATCCACTGGTAAGAGTTCTGCTTTTTATTTTAATTTGAACTGGTTTCTTGCATGGGGTATACTGATTTGATAACTGAAATCTTAAAACAGTTCCTTCAAATGATATGTTGTTTATGGTTTTTAGATTATATGTGGTGTCTTTCTGAAATTCTTCCAACTACTAATGATTAGCTGTGGAAAAATCTAAGGAAACAGCGTGCAAGGTTTTAGTTTGCAATTTTTTAAAAGCAAACTGATTAATCAAGCTGCACAGCATGCAAGCTTATTAGGGGATAAATTTCTTTTATGGTCAGTTGTACTGTACAATATTTTTGGTAATTCCTGTATTATTTTCTATGTGTAATTGAATAATAAACATGATACAGAAGCAGGTACTTAAAATGTCTCCATACTCATTCCAGCTTCCATTGATAAATCAACATTTACACCAGACGATGTTTTCATGGACACAGATTATTTTATTGTCAAAAAACCATTGTCCATCACTGTTGAAACTAAAGATGCCTGTACGCAAACTGATCAAATCATCAAAAGTCCAAAACAGACAGATAAAACAAAGGTATGACTGTCCAAACAGAAATGAATTGACTGTACTCATGAATCATATATCAATTGTTTGGTAGATTGTTTAATTCAACTACACATTTTGAACTCAATCAGTGAAGACAATAATTTGACATTTGAATTAGAGAAATGAGGGTTTTAGTTTGAATTTCTGATAATGTTTAACACAAATTACTTTCAAACCTTTAATGTTTATCAGCAGAATGACAAATACAGAAGTCCAAATTTTAATGTTTAAGAGAACAGAGTCAACAAACCAACCAATGTCTTTTTATGGTTAAAAATTTTTGGCAATACATAAATTATTTTCCATTGAATATGAAGCCTAATAAATAAATACTGCAAATTTAAGAATTTTAGTTAAACTACAGACCTTTGATTTAGATTGCAATGTTTCTTTTGCAGACATTAACTTTTCCTTCCACAAAACAGAAATCTTCTGAAGATGTTAATGGTTTAATAGAAACTAATGAAAACAAAGATAACGCTCCTGCTGTATTACATGTGAATGTGACACATTTCTGATAAAGAGGAAACACTCATGGTTCAGGATTCATTATTGGAGGATCCGACTATAGTGGAGCCCTTAAAGTTGGAAATCATTATTGGAGGATCGTACTAAAGAGGAGCCCTCAAGGTTCGGAAATCATTATTGGAGGATGGTACTAAAGAGGAGCCCTCAAGGTTCGGAAATCATTATTGAAGGATCATACTGAAGAAAAGCCATCAAGGTTGGGAAATCATTATTGGTGGATTGTACTAAAGAGGAGCCCACAAGGTTTGGAAATCATGATTGAAAGATCGTGCTAAAGAGAAGCCCTCAAGGTTCGGAAATCATTATTGAAGGATCATACTGAAGAAAAGCCATCAAGGTTGGGAAATCATTATTGGTGGATTGTACTAAAGAGGAGCCCACAAGGTTTGGAAATCATGATTGAAGGATCTTGCTAAAGAGAAGCCCTCAAATTTTGGAAATCATTATTGGAGGATGGTACCAAACTGGAGCGATCAAGGTCCTGAAATCATTATTTGAGTATCATACCAAAGAGGAGCCCGCTAGGTTCGGAAATCATTACATGGAGGATCATAGTGAGGACTTCCTTCTAAGCAGGATATATTATTCCTATTTGGAAAACCTCATAAATTTACAGCCGTGAAAGTTGACACCAAGTGAACTTCAATACCATGAATTCCAGAACAGAGGAAAAGTTTTCCTGTGGTCAATAAAATCTAAAAACCTGAAATGAAAGTACTTTCATGGTGATACACTGTAAGGAAATGATTGACAAGAAGTAAAAAATCACATGGTGATTAGAATTTCATCAAGAAGTTAAATATCAGATAATATTTAAGAAATAATACATCAAATTATTGAAATAAATGAAGAAAATTACATATCATAAATGTTGGTTAAAGATAAATGTACACTGAGATACATCATGAATGACTTAAGACTGGAACATGGGAGAGAACTCTTGAGACCTTATAATAACAATCCAAACATACATGAATTGACATTAATAAACAATTTATAGTGTCCTTGATCAATATCAAATAGTAACATAAAAATAGATCATTTAATAGAGAACAATATATGCAATTAGATGCAAATTAAACACGTTATATGTCAATATAATCAATTATGAATAGAATGAGGAATGAACTGGTACACACAGGATTTTCAAAATGGCTTTATTTATATATCTAATGATGTTAATGGTGTCCACATAGGAATTTAATTGATTTTGTATTACGTCAAACATGATAAAGCACTAAAAAGGTGGTAATGAAATTTGAAATACAATAGTCACATGTATTGGTAATTTTTTTTGTTTAAATTGAAGTTAACCTTCAACTGAGGATATCAAGAGAAGTGTTAGGTCCATGATGTTTTACAGCAATAATATTAACATATAATAGAAAATATCCAGTTTGTATAAGGTTTAGTTAGTAGTAAGACTCCCATTTCTGAGAGTAATAGGTTGTACTTAACAACACTAGATAACATTTAGAGATAGTACTGTAACTGGAATTAAGTAAACCAGTTTTATCCCATGATTGTTATTGTCCTAATGGCAAATTGAGAGTAGTTTTAGTTTTCTGCACATCAGGATAATATCATGGTATGAAAAAACTCACGAAAGATATCAAGCTTATAATTTACTTGTATCAAAACAGACGGAATGAAAAATCAAATACACAGTTTAAAAGATAAAAAAAAACAGAAAATTCTAAAAGGGATAAAGGGCCACGGTGGCTAGGTGATCTTAGTTGTTCCTCTTAAGTGATCATTAGCCTATCAGCTCTGAGGTTGTTAGTTCTAACCATGCTCATTGAAAGGTACTTTAGACTTCTATCTTAATTGACTATGATTGCCAGTGTTCCTGCAAAATGTCATAGTTCTCTTCAGAAACTGGGGATTCCTCAAACAGTATAAGCAGACTGTTAAACATTACCAAGTGTGCTGAAAGTGCCATTAAAGACCAACAATCAATCATGACATGAAAGTTTTATTTGCAGAAATAAACTTTATCACAGGTTTAGAATTATACAACCTAATTCATGTAATGCCCAAAAAATTGGGTCTTGACAGAAGAACCAAAAGCAATTGTCTTTAATGCTAGGGAACTAAAGGCAAGGGGTAGATTGACAGATGAGATTTTAACTTTGTGTTGTCCATAAAGTTCTGGTCAAAGGAATTTGTCTTGCAGTATATTTTAAACATTGTTTCGTTTTTTATGCATCATCAATTTTTAAAGCTGTATGTATTTAAATGAATCAAATCACCATTGTAAGATTAACATTCTGTATGCCCTTGATCTGGATCTGTAAAAAGTTTTTATTTGTGAAATATCTCATCCACAACAAGAAGGAGAAACAGTTGTACAGCCCCTTTGATTTTTGTCAATGTTATCAATTTGATAACATAAAATTTGTCTTCAATAACTTTGAAAAAATATTTTTCATTGATTGCTAGGAATTTTTTTATTTTTTTAAAAAAGCCATCAATATATATAATGAAGTTAACATCCACATAAAAATGGAAGCTTCTGTGTTTTATTGATTTGTGTATCATTTGAAATTATAAACATGCTATGTGCAGTTATATGTAGTGGTGTATTTCCATGTTTGACTATTTCGAAACAATCTCTCTCTAGATTAATTGGGATACAAAGTAATTAAAATATCCTCATCAATCTTCATGGCAAAGATATATTGAAGGGATACTTTACACCTTTTATGGGTGAAAATATGCTTCTCCAGATATAAAAAAGTCAACATTTGTGGTCACTAAGGAATTAGATTGTTGAGCAAACTTGTAAAGTGATGAAATTATGTGACTTTTGTTGTATATTTTTGTGATTTATAAGTTTTGTATGTATTTGAATATGAGGCCCCTTTCTGTCCGCATGCTTCATATACATTTGAAATGATTAAATCCTTCAAATGTTATGATTTCTGATTGTGAGTTTGTATAAAAAAGTATTTATGATAGGCTGTGCCATCAATCAATACTATGATACTGCAATAGCATTTATGCATTTCATTTCAGTTCAGCGTTTACTAGCTACTGTCAGCAAAGACCTTCTTCATGACTTCTCTGTATTGTTACATATAGTATATAATAAGGAAATAACCTTGAACTGTGCTTGAGATTAAAGTTATATGTAGTTTAGATTAATATGTAAGGAAATAACCTTGAACTGTCCTTGAGATTTACATAATATGTCTTGTAGATTAATATGTAAGGAAATAACCTTGAACTGTCCTTGAGATTTACATTATATGAAGTGTAGATTAATATGTAAGGAAATAACCTTGAACTGTCCTTGAGATTTACATAATATGTCGTATAGATGCTAAGACATGGCTACATTGTCATTGTAATTATGTATAATCATTCAGTGAATTTATATGAAGTATTGACAGTTCCACCCTCTTGAAATTCTAAATAGATAAAGAATTATGTTAACAGGGAATACATGTGTAATTATATTTTTATACTAAGCAAGAATTAGTATTGACAGACGCACCTGCTTGAAACTTTTAAATAGATAAAGAATATTGTAAAGAGAGAAGTACATGTGTAATTATATATTTTTACTATTTTGGAAGCAATAATTCTCATCTTCATTGTTATAGTGTCATTGTATTATACTGATGAATATTCTAAAAGGAATAATCTTCACCAAAATAAGGACAGTAGTTGTTTATTGTTGGGAAAACTTTCAGAAGGACAAAAACCCCATGTTCTATGTCAAAGTTAAGATAATACTTTTTCGCTAATACTTATGTAGGAGGATCATTAAACAAGCATGTGAGGTTACATTTACAGGGAATTTTTTTATTGTTATGCAATAATTAACTTATAAAAAAGAAAATATTATAACATAGATAGGGACCTTAGGTTTATATCTTATTTATTTAAGTCTAAGCTGAAAATGAAACAGTGTTCCTTATTGTCAAACAGTGAGAAATGTCTTTTTGTATTTTGGGAATAAAGCATGTGTTTTTTAAAGTCAATTGTGAATGCAATATAGCAGTAAAGGTATTTTAGTCAACTTGAAAATAATATCTGGTAATTTGATATGAGCCTCATTAATCCATGTTATATAGACCATAATGCAAGCAATCGTTGGCTTTTTTTTTAAATTTTTAAAGTGAATAGCCCTTATTGCTTCTACTAGAATGAATGAAGTTTTGTATTTAAGCTGTAGAAGATGTAATACACAACAATATTTCCTTTTTTGAAATGTTTCTTAATGGGATTTAAATGAAAAGCGCTGGATTGCTTGTGTTATGAAGAACCAAACAGGACACTGTAGTTGATCAAGAAATATGTCCGGAATAGAAGCCTAAAATTGCAAACAATTGTACAAGTTATAGATATGGTTGATATAATTTGTTATTTTAAATTTTTTAATTGTTGAAATTGTTTATTGTTAATGTAATCAAGGCCAACGTCTGTGATTGAATAAAGTTTTGATACCAGCATGTCTTTTATTACCTGAAAAATTTCAAAGTTAGTAATATCTCATCTCTAGAATATAGATAGTGATCAAGAATTATCAGAATATGAATGGAATGAAAGATTTAGGGTATACATCTATGAGACAGCAACCTGACTTCTTTTGGCTTTTTCTAGTTTCTGTCTAATTGATTCCCCTGGAGGTAATATTAAATCTTTAACAAAAGACAAGTTTCAATTACCTATGTCTCGCTTCATAGTTCAGAGAAGTTTGAGAATAAACTACAAACAGAAAATACTAGATCTGACATCAGCAATAAATTATTTAAAGGAAAAAAAACATCAAGATATAACTAGAGCATCCATTGAAGAATTCCTTGTAATGTGACATGCACACTAATATGGTTGTAGGTTTAAACTAGTTTTTGACCTGACTGTGACAAAGGTAGAGATATTACTTTCCTGATGGCAACAGCTGTGGAATTAACAATTTGCAAATACCATCAATATTTTATCGTCACTTTTTCTCAGTATGACAACAACTTATATAGAGGTTTACAATTTTCGTGATGAGACCATGATAGCCAGTCGTTGTCGCATTACCATTGCCTTATTTTAATGCTCCATTAGTCGGATCAAGTTTCCAGAATGTGTTCTTTCCTCGGTAAATATTCATGATTCATCAACAATATTTAGTATATAGATGGATCCCAAAATAATGTCATATGGCCTTGTCGATTTCACGCTTGTATTGTCACGTTCAATTTATTTTAGACGAAGTGTATTCATCACCTTATGCTTCTAGTAGGTCAATATTGTGTATATCGATTCATTGTAATAAGTATATGTCCATATGTCAGACATATGTCATATGGCCTTGACCAATTTCATGTTCCAATGGTCAGGTTAAGTTTTCTTGATGAGGTATTTTCTTTGAAACTACATTGCAGATAAATGATATTTCGTTTGATGATTGATTTGAAGAAGTATATGTCCGTCTGACGCATTTCATATGTAATCGACACAATTTGCATGCTCTGCCAGGTAAACATTTTAAGATGAGGCATTTTCCTAAATAACTTTACATTATATATGTATACCTTTCTTTGACCATACAACCCCTAATTAATTTGTCATGCAATAACTAGTACGATCCAACAAACAAAACGAGTTATTACTGTGTCATCAAAATCATCTGAAATGAACATTAAATACAACCTGATAAAACTGACAAGAAAACATTCAGGATCAGATACTGTCTCTTGGTGTTAAAATCGCTCTTAAACCAATGATGCAATGGCCATGTCATTATCAGTTTATTTTTCGACTTGAATGTCCCTTTGGTATCTTTCGCCTCTCTTTTACACTTTATAGAACTTATTGATGTACAGGATTTGAATTTTAACCATAGTTTTTTGTATTATTGAGGTCTGCATTTATTCGGTATACAGACGAAAAAATTTAACAAAACTACCAAACTCCAAGGTAAATTTTAAAAAAGGGTGGAAGTTCATAAAACCCTACAAAGTCAAACGCTCGACCATGTCAACCAACGGAACGGATGGAAACAATTATCATATATGGTTTTGATATTAATCAAAATAGATATGATTATGTCTAATTATGTTTATTTTCGGAATATCCTGTAATATGCAAAAATAAAAGTGCAAAAAGCTATACAAAGTTCTGCCAAATGTTTATGATTTTGATGGAATGTTTTTAAAACTTTCAATTGCAGACAATGACATGTGTTTCATATTTGTATTCTACGATCTCGGAATAGCATTTAATAGTTTACGATGATTTAAAACAGAATGCCTTTTGACTCTTAAAATATATCCCGTTCTTTCACAGAAAAAAGGGGGAGAAAATATCCAGGGGCAATCCAAAAAATCCAATGGCAAAAAACAAGACGAACATACAAAAAAAAAAAACTGCACCCAAAACTTACGAAACGTCATCAGATATGATTTGATCATTATTCATCAACAGCTTTATCATAATTTATTTAGCTAATTGGGATAACAATTATCATAGATTGAATATACTTGAAGATCACCGGCCATTAAATTTAAGATATTAGAATATATAAAACAAAATAATGGATGCACGTACATTACTTTTGTCTTTTTGCCAAATTACATTTCCATTGTATCCATGAGACCAAATAGGTTAGCTTCATTCTAAAGCGATTCTACATTCCTTGGTCGTCAAAGCATTTTACATTTATATACAGTCGGTCTAAGGTTATTATTTTTTAGACACCAATAACTTTTGTCAAACATCATAGAACTTTATAAGACTGTTGCAGAAGATGTTTATGAATTTTAGATTTTTTTTAATTGCTCTTATTTTACTGATGAATGGACTTTTTTGCAGTTAACATTTTTAAGCAGTTTGGGATAAAATGTTTAGACATCACTTTTTTTGTAAAACCTTCATGGAATGTTTTGAAACTATGATAGAAGCTTCCTCATGATCAAGAAATAGCATCTGCATGAGGAAGTTCTATTTTGTACTTTTTCCGTATTTTACTGATAAATGGATTAGGTTTTTATCAGTTAATAGTACCCTCTAACAATAACAGAGTCAATTGCAGGCGTGAGACGGGCTTCCGCAAAAACTTTTACTATTGGTCTGTCGGGGAATAAACAGTTACAGAATATTTGTAGTTTTAGACTTTTTAATCGACAAACTATATTTGTTGAGTTTGGTGGAATGATATTTCATCAGACAGTCGGTATTCCAATGGTACTATTTGTGCACCATGACTTGCCGAATTGTTTTTGTGCTCACATCAAGCAAAATTCATACACAACCTTTCAGAGACAACACGAAAAACCATCTAAAGTTCTTTAATTTCAGTTTCAGATATATTGATGATGTTCTGTCTCTCAATAATTCACATTTTAATGAGTGCTTACAACTCATATATCGCAGTGAACTGGAGATTATGGATACTTCCCCAAAGAAGAAGGTCTGCTTCATATCTTGATCTTTTTCTCGATATTGACACAGACGAACGACTTCAAACTAGAATCTATGACAAACGTGATGATTTCAACTTCCCAATTGTCAATTTCCTACTTCTCAGCAGTTACATACTCTCTTCTCCATCGTATGGCGTTTACATATCTCATATAATACGTTACGCTCGTGCATGTTCACACTATACGGACTTCATTAACATGGGTGTGCTCCTTACACCAAAACCGCTCCAACAGAGTTATGAGGGAGAACGAGGGAAATCGACACTACATAAGTTTTACGTTTTATCACGAATTGGTTGACCAATATGATACGAGTTTTTATTGTCTTAGATACCAGTGTAGTCGCCTGATCTGTAATTTTACCGATTGTGCCCTAATCCCGATTGTGACATCTTTTCTGAGTGTGGATTAGCATGGCGGGTGATGCATCTTAGCATGAAACAGAAGCTTGCCCGGTCTCGCTCCTTTTGGAGTTTATGCACTACCCGAAGTTTCTGTTTGTTACCTTGATTTGTCTCTTCCTAATCGATTTATGAGATTTGAACGTCGATACACTACTGTTTCCTTAATTTCTACTTCTTTTGTAAACTTTAGGAAAGAGTAGCATTGTTTTGGGCATTTTAAAAGTCCAAGATCGCATCGCCTACCCAACTGTCACTCCCTTCCTAATAATATAATGTAAGATTTAAGTCTTTTGTCAGTTTGTTTTCATGCCTTTTTCCTTTTTGGAACTAATTTTTGTACTTTGTTGAACGTGGGTTTAAACGACTAACAATGAGGCTACCGCACTGTCGATTGAACGTGCATATATTAATCACTTCATGCCTTGTATAAAATAAAATTGAGAATGGAAATGGGGAATATGTAAAAGAGGCAACAACCCGACCAAAGAGCAGACAACAGCCGAAGGCCATCAATGGGTCTTCAATGCAGCGAGAAAATCCCGCACCCGGAGGTGGTCCTCAGCTGGCCCCTAAATAAAATCGTGTGCTAGTTCAGTGAAAATGGACGTCACACTAAACTCTAAAACATATGTATATATATTTATCCTGTAATCAGCCAACTATTGTACAAATAATAGGTACACAAATTTTTTTTCTTTATTTGTACTTGTACAAATAAATTCTTCTGTTACTCGGCTTCCATATTGAGCAAACAGTAATGTGGATATATCTTTTTGTGTGACAGTTCATACTGGGGGCCTCTTCGCGGTCCGCGTTTAAACTATGTCGATTTCTTTGAAAAATCAGAGACAACTATTTGGATTTAAACAGGATAAAAACAATATATGTACATTGTCGGAAATATAAAATGTATTTGTTCTCGCTTCGAAACAGGAGAAAAGCTCGATGAGCATTGTTTTTCGTCCTGTTTCTGAAGCTCGTACACATAAATTACATATTTTCCGACAATGTACATATGTTGTATATACATGTATGTATATATATATAATGCATGAAACCTTTGTCCTTTGGCGAAAAAAATGAACATCAGGCAATTTAAGAATAGTAATTTCTATAATGTATGATAAAATGGAACTTGCTATTTTGTTCGGAAAGTACCATTAGAGTCAAATTTCAGAACCACTGTCGAATTTTATTGCCAAAGGTAACGGGCTTATACCAGAAACTGAAAAAGAGATGCAAACGAACAATTGAGGACTAATATTACAAATGCATTAGTACAGAAGTCTGGAGTCGGAAAAGCAGTCGTTGACGTAATGAGTCAGGATCAGGGTACGATGCAAAGGATAGGTGTAAATGTAAGACAGGAATTTTGAGACATAGTGTACAGCAGAATAATAATTTTCATGTAAATATTGAAATAATAAAGATAATGTTTGTTTACAAGTGAAGTGATATAAGTTTGAGTCACAAATAAAAATAGTCATGATTTTTTATTGCATCAAGAGACCAAAATATCCATGAAAAACGTTAAAGACATGATACATGCAATGATCTAATGTGAGCCATTATTTATCATAAACAACAGTTATAAATGATAGTAAATTGGAAACACCAAATATTCGTCAA